GCTACCAGAGCTCCTTAGCTATGACTATAGAGAATAGTAATATAATGGTAGTGGTAGTGATAGTGATGATATATATGGTAATAATTATATCATTAGGTAGTGCTGTTAAAACAAGTACTGAGCCTCAAGGTCAGTTTGAACTGCAAGGTCAGTGGTTCAAACTCACTAGCTGCTCCTCAGAAATCCTATGGAGTCACTATGAGTGGAACTGAATCGATGGCACTCAATGACAACAAATGTTATCAGTAATGCTACAATTAATTTTAAGTAAGTGCCAGTCAGTTTTCTGGTTGCTATATATGATAGATTTCATTTAATCTTTACTATTCATTTACTTTTTAAAAATACGCCTTATAATAAAGGAACTACTATTTTTCCTATTTTACTTGTGACAAAGTAAGAACTTGTGGAGATAATTTAGCTTATTCAAGGCCATATATGGATCCTTAGACAAAGCAAAGACAGGATTCAAATCCAAGCAGTCTAACTAGAAGCCTTGTAGTTAACCACACAGTATTCTATTTCCCAATGCCTTAAGCCTAGAATAAAATTACAGATTCATCTCAATAATAATTCAGTGTGTATTTTAAATCATCTTTGGAAACAATTGATAATTTCAATTTAAAAAACTTAAGAATGAGTTATTTTCATTTCTGTATTTATTCATTCAGTAACACTTATGAGCTTCTACTTGTATGTTTTCCACCGCTTGAAATTTTGGACATTGTACAATATATCATGGCACTTACGTTCAAATTTCAAAAACCTACAGTATCAAACATAATTCCATATGGGCTAAGAAGGAAAACAAAACAAAACAAAATCATCATGTGAGTTTGAGCACTAAAAGCACAAACTATAATTTTTTTTTAATTAAGTTTCTTTTTGTTGTAGGTGCTGTAAAACTGTTTCCAATTCATAGCACCCTTATGCACAATGAAATACTGCCCAGTTTTGCGCCATCCTCACAATTTTATGTTTCAGTGCATTATTGCTGTCACCATATCAGCCTATATGCTGGGGGTATAGTTCTTTTTTGATGACCCTCTACTTTTCTAGCTATGACTTCCTTCTCCAGGGATGATCCATCCTTATAACATGTCTAAATTACAAGAGACAAAATTTCACTATTTCACATCTAGGGAGCATTGTGGCTGTACTTCTTATAAGATAGATCTGTTTGTGTTTCTGGCAGCCCATGATACTTCCAATGTTCTTCTCCAACACCATAATCCACATGCATCGATTCTTCTATGGCCTTTCTTATCCATTGTCTAATTTGTACATGCTTGTGAGGCAATTGAAAATAAAATGGCGTAGATCAGATGCACCTTAG